GGGGCGGGGCGGCGTGGGGCGGGGCGGCGCGGGGCGGCGCGGTGCGGCGCGGCCCGAGGTGAAGCGAAGCGAAATAGAACTGCCCATGGGTAAACCGTAGGCAGAGAGGGAGAAGAGGACAACAGACGAGTGGCTGTGACAGACTGCTTGGTCGGAGTTTCACCGACTCATCAGGATGCTGAACCCTCTACTACAGTCTGAGGAGTCCCCTAACCAATGGATGATACTGAAAGTGATAATCCACCTTAACCCCGGTTGTGGTTACGCATCAACAAGTGCCTGGCAACTGATACTCCTCTTGAGGAGGTGGGGACCACCAACCACTGCCCTCAAGGGAACATACCTGTGACGAAAATTGTATGTATATATATTTATCTTACCTCGGTGAATATGGAGTTTAGTAAGTCGAGCAAATGTAGTCGGAAGTGGTTGGTGGTCCCCACCACTGCTGAGGCCTCGGCTTGGACGTGCACTGTTGCCTGCTGCGTGCAGGAAACGTCTGTCTGTGGAAGCAGTGAGTTTTTTTTTTTTTGACTGTTGTGAATTTTAAAATTTCTCTCCTGCACAATTACATTCAGTCGTGCCATGAATGATCTCTCTGTTGATGATTCATCATATTTATTTTTTGATCTATTTTGTTTTCCAATTCTAGGATATCCCCAAGAGTAAGTTTTTTTCCCCTTCCAAGTTCCAACGGATGTACAACCTTTACTCCTCCATGAGGGTCGTCTACTGGATTCATTGTTGTACCTCTCACTTTAGGCCGTTTACCCTGCCAACGTTTCGATCCTGTCTTTCCTGTGCTTTGATTGTTTTGAATTCTTGATTTCATGCTTGTCAGACGGCAGCGAAACATTTTTGATACATTACACGTGCTTCTCCAGATGGTAATTTTATTGTTGTCCATTTTCTTTCTTTAGCAACGACTTGGGCGACTGTCTGTACCTGCTGCCCTTACTAATTGCCCAAACCTTTTCCGGGTTGAAGTTCGATGTTGTTGTGAATAGCAGTTCCAAAAGGAATTTGGTTTGATGATCCATCAAGTGTTTTCAACTTAGATGGCTTGCTGATGCTTTGGAATGCGAAGTGCCTAAAGATTCTCAGGTTTGTGGCTGGTGGGGTTCTGTTTGATTGTGGCCTTGTATTGTGTGTGTGTGTGTGTGTGTGTGTGTGTGTGTGTGTGTGTGTGTGTGTGTTAACAGAGATGGACTTGACACCCCCAAGGAGCATGGGGGAGTATTGTGTGCACAAGGTCTTCGTTGATCCCAGCGGGCGGCACATCATTGCGACCATTAGAAATGTTGCGGGGGCTGCGGAAACACACTACCTTCACTCGAGGTGGAAGAAGTCGCGGCCCTTGAACCGGTTGCGTGGCATGCTCATCAATGCTGTTGCATGGAACAAAGTGCAAGTGAGTGATGGTGAGTGGGTGGGTTGCTCTTTCCCCCCCCCCTCGAAACTTGTTGTCATTGCGGCATGTTGGTATTCATACATTTGCTTATTTCGGGCCTACAGTATGTGCCAGTTGGGACATCTGTCTGTCAAAGCTGGAATGGTGCAGAGGAAGTCAGCATATGGCCCCGGCCCAAGGATGACGATACCACATAATTCGAGAAATGGCCCAAATAAATGCCTATATTTTCTTAAACCACCTGTTCACACACACACACACACAGACAAACACACACACACACACACACA